ACGGGGAGTTCGTTCCAGAGGGTCGGAGCAGCCACCGAGAAGGCTCTCCTCTGGGTAGTTGCCAAGTCTACACTGGCTGGTTGATGGAATTCGGAGGAGGCCTAATCTATGCGATCTAATCGGTCTAGTGGAGGTAATTGGCAGTAGGCGGTCTCTCAAGTACCCAGATCCAATACCATGAAGGGCTTTGTAGGTGACAAGTAGCACCTTGAAGCGCACCCGGAAAGCAACAGGCAGCCAGTGCAGCTCGCGGAGGATAGGTGTTACGTGGGTGAATCGAGGTGCACCTCGAATCCCAATCTCAACCGGCACCCAGACACATCACTCCCCATTCCACCAGGAGTGCGGCCACCACGGTAGCATGGGCAATGCAAACCTCGGTGGAGGACATATGTAGTACGGCGACCTGGTCATCACCGTCACCCTTCATCCATCATTACAAAGTGGACATGTGTGCCTCAGCGGAGGCTTCGTTTGGGCAAGCATCTTACAGAGGGTTGTAGCATCATCTACGGCCCCTGACCAGCCTGTGTCCCGCCCTTGAAACTCATTGCTTTGGCATTTCCCATGCTTGGATTCCCCAAGCAGCGCACAGGAGAACGACTGTTGTCTTACCTGAATGGTCCTTCTATGTGCGCTGCGAGGGGAATCCAAACCCGCCCTCAGCTTCGGCTGGTCCGGGCACTGGCACTGTCTCAATCTCACACGCACACATTGTGTTTACTTACCTACTTACCTTCTAGTCTGCTGATTCCTTTGCTTCTCTTGGATCGGCTGAGCTTTCGTACAAAACTGAACTATCCCAATCAGAGAAGGCGTGGTCAACAATTACGTAACTCAGTCTCTAGGCTAATGGACAAAATTAACCCCTGCTTGGATTCCCCTCGCAGTGCACATAAAAGGACCGTTTAGGTAAGTCAACGGTCGTTCTGTGCCCCTTCGGTGTTTAGTCATGCCGACCATATGACCATGGAGACGACTTCGGACAGCTTTGGCTTTGAAACGGAGATGAGCACAGCCCCCTAGAGTGTCTAGAGTCAGGAACGACTAGCACATATGGGCAAGGGGAACCTTTACCTTTTAATAGTAACATAGTTTCTCCATAAAATACTATCTCCTTTTGAGGAAGACTTAAATACATCAGTAGTCAGTCACATTATCATTACAAATATTTACAAATATTTCTGTGGCTGTGAGAAACAGGAATGTTCCAACATTACCTCAGCCGCAGAATAAATAGCCATGCTTAACATTACGTTGTCAAATTAAGCTTGATTATAATAATAACTGCCTTGAGTACATTGTGAGGAGAAAGACAGGGATAAGGCTGGATCAAAATTTTCCACTTCTGGCAAATTTGACAGTTCGTCATTTATTATTCTTTATTGTTTTACTGGACATTGGACAAAAATGCTTTCAACACTCCAGTTACAATGCTCCCTATATAAAAGCCTTTAGGGTTTTCCCCCCAATATATTGATCAAACTTCATAAGGCTAGGTTTCATTTATTTTTCATATCAAATGATAGAGCCCATGGAATGTGCAAACCATAGGAACTGAAATGAACACTCTACTTGGGATTTTCTCCCAAATCTAAAATGAAGTAATAAATTAGGTGTGTAATAAATAGCCAAGCAACTTTTGTTTTATTAAACCATTGTTTATTGGAGAGCTCCAGAAAGAATCCAGGGAAATGTGGAGAGCCTTTTAGTTACATTATTGCAATAAATCCATCTTTCCCAAAGTTTCGTTGCATTGTTCTCATTGTTTATTTGTGTTCATTTTGGGGTTTGGGATTTTTAGGGGAGACCTGTTTGAAGTGAGAGATCAGCACATGGAATATTAATTCAGCTCATTCTTCATTTAAATCAAGTTTCTTGTGAACATATTCTTTAAAAAAAATAGAGCTTAAGAATATGTTCAACTTTGAAAAATCTTGAAATAACAGGATATAATATATGCATTCTTTATGGGTAGTGTTGTTATAGCAAAAATCTGAACAAAAAGGAGAGATAGGACAAAAATGAAATTAATTATTATTCTAAAAGGAGATTACAGATACTGAGGTTCCAGATGATGTGATGGAGTTAGAAATGGATGAGCTCAATCAACACGAGTGCATGGCTTCTATGACAACCCTACTCAAACATATGCATAGAAATAATATCACACCAGTAGTAGAAAAAGTAAGTAATCCATTGTAGCTTTGTGGAATTGACAAATACCACTCTCAGTTAAACTAATTTGTAATAAGTATGTTTTCAATTTATAAACCTGTAATTTTTTGGGTATTCAGGGTACAAATGCACCTGAACTTCCTCCATGGATGAAATTTTTGCACAGCAAACTGGGAAACTCTACTGTTCCTCTAAATATCCGTCTCTTTGTAGCAAAACTCATTGTGAACACAGAGGAAGTAAGTTCTTTTTTATGATAGAGAAAAGTATTGTAGTATATAGCTGGTATACCTGCATTTCTTTGGGTTATTAGAGAAGCTAATATTGAGATTAGAATAATCTCCAAACTTTACAGGTAGTCCTTGCTTAATAACTACAATTGTGACCAGCAAGTCCATTGTTATGCACCATGGTATCACATGACCATGCCAGGCTTACAATGTCATTTCCACTTCCAGCGTCAAGGGGGTAACTCTGGTCATTCAGCATATCACATGACCTCAACCTACAATTTTACTTTTACATTCTCCAATACTACTTGGTAGAAGCTGGTTGTGAAGCTTGCAGATGCAATCACGTGACTATGGACTGCTTTAACGGTTGTAAATATGGGTCAATTGTGGAGCTCCCAAATGGCGATCCTGTGACTGGGATGCTGTGATGGGTGTGACATCCGTGAGATCTGAGGATTGGTCACAAAGCTGGGTTTTTTCCCCACTGTCATAACTGAACAGTCTTTAAACAAGACAGTCAGTATATAATAATAATCATTCTGATGGTTTTATTAAATTTTTATGAACAAGATTTTCAAGTGTTGCCAGAAGTGACAAAAACTGCTTGTTCAAAGTAAATGTAGGCATAGCAAAATCAAATAAACTCTGTCTTTGATTTAGTGAGGTTTGGGGTTTTTTGCAGCATGTTAAAATATATTAATTTTCTAAGCAAGTATAGATTCCTAACTGATTTCTTAAGTAATTAATGCAGCTAGTGTCTCCTATGTGAGGTGGATTCATGAATGGTTCATATGAGTAAACTATCATCATATAATATTGTTATTACCATGTATACATTTTGACTGTAAATGGACATGGGTGCAAAATAACTTTAATATCATTCAGTCTCTGTGCTGTGGGTCAAAATAAATCCTCCCAACACAGTAAAAGCTGCTTCTTATTCAAACGTTTTATCAAGTCTCTTGAACTAGCCTGGAGTAAGGGATGATAATTACTTGGCAAAATAGTATATCTTCTAGACAGAAAACCACTGCCCATACAATTTGGTTTGTAGCTTTATGAGCAGCATTAGAATTTACAGTGTGGTTAGCTGTTCATGAAATAAAGAGTACAAGGACATTCTTATGGTCTTAATGGGTGTCCTGGTAGACTGCAATGTTATCTCCCCTGTGATAATTGATTTATCCCTCTACCTCTACCCAGTTATTTGAACTCATACAAGTTTGTGCTAGCTGAGAATAGTTTAAGTATGGTAGTTTAAAAAGCAGTAAAACATGATGATTCAGGAGGTATTCTGTAATCACCCAGAATTTTGTATTTTATATTTTGTACTGTTGTGGGTGGCAGTTGACTGATATGTGCTAATAGAGGGATTTGATTGAGGTAGTTCTTATATTAATTATGAATATAAATCAGAGGTTGAAATACTAATGTGTTATGTAATCTATCTGCTTAGATATTGTGTAAGGCATGACATGTGTTTGCATTGTTGAGTATTTGTATGGGTAACCTTTTAAATAATAATTTAATTTGATTAGAGGTAAATAACAAAGTTAACGTGCAACAAATTTTACAATTGCAATCTTGGCTTTTTCTTCTCCAGGTTTTCCAGCCTTATGCAAAGTGGTGGCTGGGTCCTTTACTGCAGCTGGTCGTTTCTGGAGATAATGGAGGAGGTGGAATACATTACATGGTGGTGGAGATAGTGGTCACTCTGCTTTCATGGACTAATGTGGCAACTCCTAATGTAAGAAATGTATTTGGTTATCGTAAGGAAGCCATATAAACATGGGCGTGCCCTCCCTCTCCTCTCCCCTCCCTCCCCCCATCCCCCCTCTTTAGTACATATATTCTTGATAGGACAGTGGCTAAGAGAATTTTGTATTGTTGGAAAAAAAAGACTTTTCTGTCTTTTCTGAATATTTATTAGTCCTAAACAGGAAGAATTTGGCAAGCCTGAATATAATGTGTTTCAGGTACCATATATTTTGTCATTTTATGAGAAAAGAGGAATATTTGCAATATGCTTTTTCTAATTCTTTCATAACAGGGCAACATAAAGGATGAAATCTTGGCAAACAGGTTGTTGGAGTTCCTAATGAAAAATGTGTTTCATCAGAAAAGAGCAGTATTTAGACATAACCTGGAAATAATCAAGACAGTAATAGAGTGCTGGAAGGAGTGTCTGACCATACCTTACAGGTAAACGATGGCAATAAAATGTGGTTGTATATGCAATTCTCCAAGAGCTGTAGCAAAGATAAGAAGGGGTGACTTTCTGCACACTATTGAAATACAACAGCATCCCCAGCAGGCATTGGCCATACTAAAAGATGCTGTAATTGAAGTTTAGTAGTTGTTGGCCTGCTAGTTTATATCAAAGCCTATTGTCAAATCTGCTTTTTAAGTAAATTACGACTAATCTGTTATTTATTTGGTAATTCGAGATATTATATACAAATTAAACTTGGATTATGATTTCCTCTAGAAATATTAAAATCATGGAGTCAGTACTATTAGAAGATTATATGAGGAATGACTAGGGAAATAGACCCATTTTCTATTTTTATGGAAAAAGGCTTCTACAGTGTAGTAGTTGAAGTTGAAGTTTAATAAACTTATATGCCGCCCAATCCCAAAGGACTCCGGGCGGCTTACATAAAAGACAATTTAAAAAGTACTAAAAAGTTTAAAAGTAAGAAAAACAAAGCAGGTTAAAAACACAACACACTCAACCGTAGTGGGGCTGGACCTCATTCAAGAGGTCAACAGCCCCAGGCCTGCTGGAAAAGCCAGGTCTTAATAGACTTTTTGAAGGCCG